GGTGGAGGCAGCTACAGTTGTAGCCACAGCTGCCCTGGGACAGACTGACAGAAGCGAGGCTGCCATATCGCGCCATCGGCCCCTCTGGCCAACATTAGTAGGCGGTAGGGTAAAGTGTCTTGCCCAAGGACACAACGACCAGGACCGAGAGCCCAGGGATCGAACCGGCGACCTTCTGGTTACAGATATGCTTCCCAAACCCCTGAGCCACGGTTGTATAGTATAGCTTAGCTTTGCTAGGAGTGCGTTGATCATTTGGAAATTGAGTGTAAAGCAGTGAGTTGTGTTTATAGTTCTGCAAAAAGAGTGCTGTGCAGTGGATTGTAGCTACAGGTTTGCAAAGTGTGTGTTATAAAATGGCAAACTGAGTGCAAAGCAGTGTTTGTGCTTTTAGTTTTGCAAACTCAGTGAGTGGTTTTGCTATAAGTATTAATAGTTTTAGAAATTGTGCTATAAGAATCACAGTTAGGGTTTAAGCATTCAGTAAAAACTGTAAATCTAAGGTTTGAATCATCATTGATATGTGCAGAGGACGTCAGGAGAGAACTACAACAGTGAGTGTCTATCTGTAACATATGGCGGATGCTCTGCCATGGTTTGGGACTGCTTTTCAGCTTGGAGATCTTGTTAAAATTGATGGAATTATTGATATAGGAAAGTACCATCAAATTTTGATCCATCATGTAATACCTGTCTTGAAAGCATCTCATTGTTAATGGCTTCATTTTTCAGCGTTACAGTATTCCTAAACACATACCTAATGCAGTAAAAGCATACCTGGATATAAAAACATACAGAACACTATGAGTGATGGATGGGCCTCCTGAGAGCGCAGACCTCAGCATTATTGAAGCATCTCGACAGATAAAGGAGCAAAAACAAACTAAAACAACCAACTTAACACAAAAACAAACAAAAAACACCCAAAGAACAACTTTAAATGAAGTTCAAGAAGCAGGAGGAACTATATAATCTTATGACTGCTTGAAGATATCACAGGAAAGCTCTCCTAAGAGAGTTCAGACTGTCTTGAAGAATAATCAGAATCAGAATACTTTATTAATCCCAAAGGAAATTATAGGTTACAGCATGCAGCACTCTAATGGCGCATGCGCACTTACAAAGGAACCTAAATACTGAATATTGACTTTCAAGCTCATTAGAATGGTACAAACTCTGTTTTTGCCTTATATAATGCATTTCCATGTGAGTTTCCACACACCTTTCAATAAATTGCTGCACATATTTCCCATTTTCCTACA